AAATGTTTTCCCTGTGAGGGTGTTCAGGCACTGGGATATTGCCCAGGGAGGTGGTGGAGTCACCATCCCTGGAGGTGTTGAAGAGGTGTCTGGATGTGGCACAGGAGGATCTGGTTTAGGGGTTCCAGCAGTGACAGGTTAATGGTTGGACTTAATGATCTTAAAGGTCTCTTCCAGACTTGATGGTTCTATGATCTTCCCTTTTCACAGTGCCCCACCACAGTCTTCCCTTCCCCCCGTGGGTGAAGAGTTGTCCCTCCCAGAGCAGCAGTTGCTGACCTGAGACAAGCACAGAACCAGCTCTGTGGCCTGCAGTTCTTTATCCTGTCCTTTCTGTGCCCCCATTTATTTTTGAGAAAAAAACCCAAAGCACTTAAAACCTCTGGCCACGTGTCTCCCTGTTTTCAGAGCTGCTGGGAGCACTGGTTCCCTTTCTGCCAGTGAAATCTTTCTTTCTGCTGGTAATTTTACCTGATGTTGCTCACAAATCTCCTATTGTGGTCTGGCATTTCAGAGCCTTGAGAATCCTTTATTTCCCTAATGGAGTTTCCCAGTAAATAGCTTTGAACTCAGATCGTTGTCTCCACTATTGTTGTGCTTAACCAGCACATCACAATTAGCACCATTACCTCGTTAAACATGAGGAGGTGTAGGAAGGCTCACATTTTATTGCTGGAAGCGTTTGCAAAGGGCCACAGAAGTAGGAGATGAAGTGCTGCATTCAGGTGTCTGATCAGCTCAGCCAGGTCAGCAGGCCAAAATTTCAGGGCTGACCAGGGTGGATGTGCTTTCTTCAGCACCTCGGAGCACCTGAGGTTTTTATAGGGAGAAGAAAGGAAAGGAAAGGAAAGGAAAGGAAAGGAAAGGAAAGGAAAGGAAAGGAAAGGAAAGGAAAGGAAAGGAAAGGAAAGGAAAGGAAAGGAAAGGAAAGGAAAGGAAAGGAAAGGAAAGGAAAGGAAAGGAAAGGATAGGATTTGGGGTGAAATGAGTTGATCAGAGTCAGAAGATAATGGTTCCTATTTGTGTCTATCAGGTGTAATTGTCCTCAGTGAAGCCACAGTTTCACCTAGGAGTGAGGCTGTGGGAATGACTCACTGGGTACTGTGTGTTTGCAGGAGGGAAACCTCTGTTGTTTCCCCTCTGGAACAATTGATGTGTTGGAGTTATGTCTGTTCCTGTGCTAAGTGCTTGGATTTCACACCACGAGTGTCTCCATCTCTGTGTCACCTTTCCCCTGTCAGCTGTGAGCAACAGCAGGGGAGAAGAGCACAAAAAATTTGGGTGTTTGGAGCTTTTCTGTGGTTTGATTTGTAAATCAGCTTTGCTGCAGCTAGACTGGAGGTCCTTGCTGTCCTTACCATGACCTCAGCCCTAAGCCTGGCTGGAACCCAGAGGGACTGGCAGAGCAACCACAGGCTACTACTCTAAAAGGAAGGCTGGAGACCTCCTGGGGAAATAGATGACTTCTCAAGGCTTTCAGGAGAGAAGTGTGTGTAGCAATTCAGTCATGTTCAATGAACTCAGCAGCTGAAGATGGCAAGGAGAGGTCATCAAAAAGCACAACAGGCTCATTACTCACTACCTAGTTTGCAGCCTCAAAATAGATCTAAGAACTTCTAAATAAGGTTAAGAAGTGGTGGGGAAGAGAACTAATGCCAGGCACCAAGTCGAAGGTGAGGTAGCAATGCGCCCTTGTGGTTGAGGAGGCCACCAGCATCCTGGTTTGATCCGGAGGGACAGTCAGCAGGGCAGGGAGGTTATCTGTCCCCTCTGAGGACAACTGCAGGAGGGTCAGTGAGGCTCAGTGCTGGTCCTGCCGTGGGACACAACAGCCCATGCAGCTCCAGGCTGGGGGAGCAGTGGGGACAGAGGTGTTGGTCACAAAGGACTTGGCAGTGCTGGTGGCACAGCTCAGTGTGAGCCCACAGTGTGCACAGGTGGCCAAGGAGGCCAAGGGCACCTTGGCCTGGCCCCAGCAGAGTGTGGCAGCAGCACCCGGGCAGTGTCAACCCCCTGCACTGGGCACTGGGGAGGTCCCAGCTCAGTGCTGTGCTCAGCTTTGGGCACTCACTGCCCAAAGGCCATTGAGGCACTGAGCGAGTCTATCCTGAGAACCTCCACGGTGGATGGAGCTGTGAGCCTGGAGCAGCTCCCAGGAACACACCACCCACATTTGGGGCTTTGCTGGGCTTTGCTCCTGTCTGAACATGTTTCTTACCTTACAGCTAACCCTAATTTGCAGGCTCAGCACAGGGGGAGCAGATTCCCATTATCATGTTCTTCTTACATCTGGAATTTGAAATGAACTACAGAACAGAATCTTCTGCTTCCTTAAGCATTTTCTTCTCCTTTCTTTAATCATGCTGAGATTTCCTGTGCCTACTGTGAGCTGTAATTATCATCTGCACATCTCTGGGTAATGCTAAGCTGGTTCTTAAAGGGATTTTTTTTCTCTCTCTGTGAATTTCAGATGACCAAGAACAAAACTATAATCACCTGATACTAAACAGTGCCACCCAGACACCTACACATGGTAAGAGAAAACCAAGAGCAAAATTACACATGGTGTAACTTTTCTCTGCCAACCAGTAATATTTACTGGCATCAGAGTGTGTTTGGTGTTGATAGAAATGTCCCTCTGGTGCATGACTGATGCTTTCCATTAACATTAAACATAGGACCATATTTTGGAGCGTGCACAATATGGCCCAGTCTCCTATAACTGTGCCCATCAACCTTGTGCTTCCTCATGTCTGATTGCTCCTTTCTCCCTTCCACACCCACAAAGTGATGGAAGAATGAGAACCAAAGTGCATCTTGTCAGCCAAGCCACTATCCCAGTGCTGCTTGTGCATCTGAGAGAGGGTGGGAGGACAGTGACCATGGGGCAAGGGCTGACGTGGGTTCTGGCCTAACGATATGTGGCCAGAGCTTGGGTTCACAGCTTGGTCCAAGCTGTCCAGACCCTGCTTGCATGGGCCTGGTTGGGGTGACCTGCTGAAGCCCCTGACTCACTGCACAGCATCTCTCCAGTTTCTAGGATGCAGGACAGGTAGAGACCATGAAAAGATTCAGGGCTGGCCCTGTCCACTCCCATGAGCACAACTGCCTCTATCCAAACCAGTTACAGAGGTTGCTCTCACACCCTTCCAAATCCTTTCTACTGCAATGCAAACATTGCATCTCTCTTACCCTAAGGACTTTAGAAACTCAGAGCCCCTTTCATGTTCCTACACACACCAGCACTGACCTATCCCCTTAACCTCAGAGGTGACACCTCAGGAGGTGTCTGGGGCAGCCTCTCACCACAATCTCACCTGGCTGGTTGTCCCTCTGAAGGGGGAGAGCATCTCTTCAAGATTTCCTCTAGAGCTCCCTAGGGTTGGTCTTGGTCCCAAACAGTTCCCAGGTGTGAAGACCCTTCTGGCAATGCTCTTGCTGAGCTCTGAAAACACATTTGCCACGGAACATTGTTCAGCACAATTATTCCCACCTCTCTGCCCAGTTCTGACCTAACAAACCTGAGAATGCCCCAGGTCATCCTGTAGCTGGTTCAAGGGTTCTGACATTATTCACAGATACTCTTATTCCACTTTGTTTCCCTCATCTCCTCCCAGCCAGGAGCTATTTCTTCATGTCCTTCATGGCCCAAAACCCTTCCCTGCTCAGCCCTGTCCTCTCAGCCCTTCTGCCTCCTCTGTCCTGTCTCTCCTTTTGGTCTCCTTGGCCCCAGATCAGCAGTTGAGCATGGGCAGCATGTCCTCCCTTCCAACATGACCACAGTCAAACCCTCTGCAGCTTCTGGCTCCATCCAACCCCAGAGCAGCTGCTGCCACCCAAATCAGGGGTCCCCTCAGTCTCTGTTCATTCAGACACCCTCAGGTCCTCTCTGCTTTCTTCCCTCTTCTCCTGCTACCTTGTCATGGTCTTGTCAGTGTTCTTCCCTGAACCCTTTCCCCTTTGGATGTGATCTGTTCCTCCAGCATTTGCAGCTGGAACCTTCCTTCTGCTGAGGAACCAGTAGGAGATTGGTACATCTCATCTTAAACACTTTGTACAGCTCCTAATCTCTGGGTTTGTTGCTGCGTTTGTTCAGGCATTTGGTTTTAATTCTGAAACTTCATCCTTGTAACTATTCTGGAGTTGCTTTATTACCAGTTGTGTTCTTGTCTAGAAATTTCCATGCCAAAAAGGGTGGAAGAACAAGTGCCCTTGGAAAGGTCACCTAAAACCTCTGGTGTTTCTCCTTCCCAGAGGGTGGCTCAGGCAGTTCCTCAGCCTGCAGGTTGTAAGGTGACATTGTTAGAGTTCCTTTCTCTGTCTACCAAAAACCACAGGAGAAACAGTGTCAGCTTTAACCTGGCAGAGGCACAGGAGTCTTACGGAACCTGAACCGACAACCTCCAACGTTCCTCAGACTGCTGATCCTCTTTAGCTTTTTACCTTCCTGAGGGGGAAAAAAGAAGCGAAAAATGGAGAACTAAGGGTGAAATTGTCTTGTGTTATCTTTGGTCTTATTCCTTGTTCTTAAACTCCAGCCTGTGTTGGGTTCTGAGCTGCCCCAGCACAGCCAGGGGAGTCCAGGATGTGCCACTGTCTCTGCCCAGGAGTTTTAGTGGATCTCCATCATCAGTTCCCTATTGCATTCGGCAGCTCGAGGGAACAACATGTACTAAAACAATTCCACTTCCCTGTGGCCCTGACAGATGCTTTGCCTTTGTATGTACTTGAGAGACAAAAATCAAAGCAGATACACTCATGAGCTTGGATTTGCGTTTCCTGTGTCTTAATAATTTGGTTGTACAAAGTCACTTGGATGAACTGACGACAAATAACTTCTGATTCAGAGTTGCATTTTAATCCTGAGTTCTCCATATGGTCATGGATGTTTTGGTTCTTTAGATTCCTGTGTGCTGTTGCTGGTGAGATGTTGCTTGGGGAGGTTGAAAAGATATTTGGACCTTTCAAAAAAGGCATCAAAAGAGCATTTGGGATTCAGAAT